TAAAAAACAATCTTTGAAATTCGAATCTATCATTTTGACAATCTTCTGAAAGTGGGGTTTTAGTGGGTAAAAATCCCACATAACCTCATTCCCGCCCCTAGGAGGACAGGTATCTTTGGAAGATTTATCCCACGTAAAAAGAAAAAAAAAGTTAGGTTAGGTTAATTTTTAGTAAAAATTTGGAAAACGGTGATTTAGACCATGGCAGGTATAGTATTAACATATATTTTATCCCGTTTTTTATTACAATTCTCAATTTCCATTTCTGCACGAGCGAAAATATTCCATTCTCTCGACAATCGTATCGTTCAATGCATATCCAAAGACTCTTCGGGCAGCTATAATACGCGATACATTTTTGATAGCAACTGAACAAAACAGAAATAACTCGGTGGTAGAATAACAAACATTTCTGGTGCGAGATTAAACGAAAATATCGAAGCGAAACTGCAGAGGTGATTACAATGGACGACAGGGTCGTTAAAGCGGAATTATCGTTCGACCTTGGCTCGAAAACCTGCTGCGATGTCGAGAAAAAAAGAAAATAAAAGAGAGTGACGCATACGGGCTTGTTTTCATGCACGCGGTTTCATTGAAACTACTTACGCGTTTTGATCCCCCTGCTGCTAAAAATAACTATAATCAACCGTTGTTAATGGTAACCTGTTTGCCAACCGCTGATACGCGGCGAAATTCCGTCGACGTTTGTGAACTCGCCCATCGGTTTCCATACTTTTTGTACCTTGTTGACTTAATGATTGAAAAATGGCGGATAATCTTCTTCGTTTAACCAGTTTCCTTATGATTAGTGTATCACGATTTCGGTAGTTAATATTACGCCCAATTAGCGGTATCAATTTCTGTTTTCTGAAAGTGAGGTTAGTTTGCAGGTTAGGTTACGGGGGTTAAGCGTGAGTCAGTGACTCTCGACATTTTATGAATATTTCGAGTGAGGCAAATTCAGATGGATAGAATAAATGAATACCGATTAACCTATCGCACTTTGAGAATTTTTTTTATTTTATCGTATAAAAGAGCATAGGAAAACAATATTTATATTTTTGCAATGAGAAGGTTTTCGAAAGGAGGAATTATAAATATCTGTGTATTTGTTCATACGGTAATATTGCTCATTTTTTCGCTTTATTAGTTAGAATAGAACCAGGGTACAAATTGTCGTTCAAATGCAAGTTATCGACGCCTCCGCTACGCGGCGCTAGTGAACCATGGGGAATTAAATTCGGACCAAAACAAACAATTTCAACTGAATAACTCTATTTATGGTAATAATGATATCCAGAATGGGATATATATTGTCTTAAATAAATCTTCTTATCCAAATCTTGTAGATATTTCGAAAAGAGAGTTCACCATATTTGATCTCCTATCTCCCAGGTAATTCGTTTAAGAAGAAGAATAGAAATCCATTTGATTGTTTTATTAAAGCACTTTTATTAGTCACACCGTGTGCAACTGGAACGACTACCAATAGACTTGCAAATGATTCTAAACTCTTCGTTTCCTTTTTCCCTCGTTGTTCCATTTTCCTTTCACGATGCTACTTCTTCCTGCTCTTCATCCAGCAGCTAGCATCCTATCAGGTTTTTACTTCCTGTCGTAAGATTTCTTTCGTAAACTATACAAGATAGATGAATTCGATACGAAGAAATATACAAGTAGGATATAAGTATCATATCAATCCTCTGTCATTCCAAATAAACCGCCTGAGAGTTCCCTGCGAAAAATTTCCCTCGACTTAACCTAACAAAGTCACCAAACATTTGCCTAATGTTCCCCAAACTGCGGCATCCATTCAAGCGTGCAAGCTACATTTGCCAAAGACCATCGAACAGGTCTGATTTCCATAATCTCCATGCAACGAGGCAGGTCATGGTATTCACGACCGCCGCGACCTCGAAATTCCCAGCTGCGACGAAATTAGGCGAATTCCGCTGCGGCGTCCAGCCCGACCGCTGCGCGCAGATGGCGCTGATCAGCGACTGTGGCGCCCTCACTTCGTTCCGCCTCGTTCGGCCCCGTTTTGGCTCGATTCATCGCTAGGATATTAATCTCTTTTCCGATTTTCTTTGATGTTCTCGAACCTCGAGACGGCTAATCCGATTTGTTCGCGAGCAACTGGCCGTCAGGGCTTGGATGATTGAAAAGTTGCCGTTTTGCGCCATCTCGGATTAGCTTTTCACGCTCGCTCCGATCTCTGCAGCCTAGTGCGAACGAAATTAAGCACTCTTTGTGCTGTGATATCGCTCTGTAAATATTTTTCGCGAATCCCGTGTCTTTTCATCTTTTCATTACAAATTGTGGAGCAGGTTGAAATAAATATTTCCATATTATATGGATACTTGGCGTGGAGGGGGGAGATGGTTCTTCGAAGTAGCTTGGAAGATAGGTTAGGTGATCAGGGTTATCGGATAGGGGATTAATGGGAGATTTATTTAGAAGAGTAGAAATTTCTGACGATGATCCAGTGAAATATTATACGAATGGTATAAATATAGATGGGGTTTCGCTATTATAAGCTGAAAATGCTTGTTCTCTGACACCTCTTTATGGATCAGGTTTTTCGTTATCGAGGTGACTGTGATCATCCAACGTCAAGTGCTTGCTGCATACTAAAGGTGTAATTATGGCTGCTAATGTAAATTCTGCAATGGCCGACGGATCTTATTCGACGCTATATAGGCTAGATTCTTCCTTTGTGGTGTTTTATATGGACTTGAATATTATATATATAATTAATAATAAATATACTTGTTATATGATCATTAACAATAATTATTATAATTATGATTTAAGAATAATAATTTAAGATTTAAGAAGAAAAAGCAAAAATAATGCTATGCTATAGAGAATGCATATGTATAGTTAGATATATTAAGGGTTGCCTTGATTTCATTTATTTTTTTTAATTTTATTAGAGTTATCCAAATTGAAATTTGATGGTGTATATATTTTTACAAAAGTGTTATAAAAATTTACAAAAATTGTGATAATCACAGTACGTTTAAAGTTTAATTAGTTCAATTTGTAATAATTTGTTACACACTGATTTTGGATGAATTGAATTGGTGAATTTCGATGTGACATAAGGGATGATAATTTTTATTAGGTATTTTAGGAATTTTTAGGTTTATCGTAGGTAAGTGTGAGACGTAGTGAATTTATAGGGAGAAGCGTGGACACTTTAAATATCTATGACCTCGTCGGGTGAGTAACGAACACTCTGACATTCAACTTAATTTTCCTGGAGTAAATGCAGTTCCCGTGTCAGTTCCTTTATCGTAACCACTTTCCTCCAAATGTTCAACATTCATACGAAATTGCATCGGTGTAAGATACAAAGGCCGTCTCTGTATCCTCATTCCGAAAATTACGTGTGCACAGTGCCCTAAATTATGGTCCCACCAATGAAACTGAACTGCATCTGTGCTTATTAGATGAAGTCGAATTTTTAATATCAATGTGCAAATGTTCAGGGGACATTCAAATACCAATTAAGAAACATGAATAGTGTATAATTTAAAAAATATATATCATTATTAAATTTATATTAAAATTACCTCTATTACACAAGTATAGGTACTATAACGTAAATGATATATTATGATATAATATACAATATTTTAGTATACATTAATACATTACAAATTTATAAATTTATAAATACGTATATTGATATGATATAATTATGATATAAATATACTTTTCATTTCAATTTAAATTTATATTATAATTATATCATATCAATATACATATTTATAAATTTATAAATTTGTACTAAATACATTGTCTTCAGATTTAATGATTGTTGTTATCAGGGGGAGATAACATTTTTTAACGAATTACAAATGTTTGCCAATCTCACTAGGGATTTTTCTCGACAAATTTGCCTAGGAAATTAAAGAATAACAAGATGAAAGATCTCGACAAGTCACGGATGAAGAATTTGCTATTTTTGGAATTGCAAGAGACCGAGTAAAATTTCCTCAATGAAACATGCACGATACGACTGGGACACCATAAGACGACGAAGAATATTCTAAAAGTGGAGATACTTCCGGGGCACGAATGTCTCGTCTTTACTTTTTTAAATGAAACTACACGACTTTCTTCCCTCGGATAGAGGTTGCGTAAGATTTCATGAAAGTGAGGTTATGAATGGACGCTAACAGGGGAACTGTGCACGGTTTTATGCACGAGTTTCAAATTTACGCACGGAACATTAGGGGAAATGAAAAACATTCTTATGACCAGACGTACTGCACATAAACTTCACATAAATCACTAGATTCATAATCACGTATATTTAAAAAAAAAAAAGAAATATACAAATATGAACATGGACTACGTTTACTTTTAGAAATATAACATACAAATTTCAAGGACGAGTTATTTTTTATCTCTGAGTACTTTAAAAAATAAAGAAATAAGGATACACATTAAATTCTGTATTTATAAATTATTCGAGGTGCCCCGGGTTGAGCACCCCTGACTAAGACATTCCATGGATCTCGAAAACTCCGCAACATAAATTCTCACTCGTCCTCTCGCGCAAGTGTAATAAAGGAAACTCTTGGATCTTAAAGTTAATTAAAACTGCATTACAAGGACTCCTGATCAAATATTTCCATAAAATAGAGTACTTAAGATATCAAGTACTCTATACCTCAAATACACAATTTCGTAAAATAACGATATTATAACTACGCTCTATCCATGTTCTATTACGTTAGTAAATATTTCCTACTTAAATATAATTCAATATTTCTTTCCGCGAAAAAAGAATTAATTTACGAACACTCGATAATTCAATTACAGACTTCTTCGCTGTTCTCCAATCTAAAACGTAAGCAGTCTGACAACAATTGATAGCACCTATTTGTACAATTAATGAGAACACTTCAATTCGACCAGTAGGAACATCTAGTGTTGCGATTAGGAATTAAGTGTATCGCCAATTCGAGCAGTAACGCTATACCGATCGAACCAGTAACATGACGATTCAGCGACGAAAACCAAATTTTTTAATTTTTGTTACGAACTCTGGTATACAATTCAGAATTCCAACAAGTACTCTTCATAATTATATTCAGAGGTACGAGTAAGTTCAATTATCTTTCGAAGTTTCGACTAAAAAATTCGTCGTGTCACTGTTCGTAAATTCGCGTCGTAATTTATGCGGAGGTTAGGTTACGTGAACTCGTACATGCAAGCGCGACTAATTTCACCGACGGGCGAGCGTTACAATCGATTTCATTTTACTTGCATTACTGCGGACAATTTCGTCAAGACCATCGCGATCAATTCCATCGGGCGAATCGGGGAGATACCGAGATTAATTTCATTAGCGCGCAGGACAGAGGGACTGATTTCGTCGTGGCTAATTTCATTACACTGGCAGCGTTGATTCCATCGCGGCCATAACGGCAATTTTACGATCACGAGTTCGAGATGTCCGAAGCAAAACTATTGGAACGGCTGAAGGTTATCATTTGAAGTATTAAACTAGCCAAGGTGATTTTTATTTACATTAATTATAATATATTATTATCGTAACGACAATAAAATAATACGAAAATTGTAAAACGTTTTATAGGTAAAAAATAAAATCGTGTATCTAATAATAATTCTAAGTACGACAAATAAATTTTGCACCGCGTACGCGAGTAACATATATCGGAGAATCAGCAGCCATCTGCATGTAGAATCTCATGGCCAACGGCACTGGAGTAACTTTCGTAATGGACACCGTCGCTGGCAATTTTCTCGAATCCCCCCTGCACGAGTCATCAGTCTTCCTACCCGTGAATACTTGGTAGCGTGATTTACGCGACCTTCGCGGTCCCGCGATCTGGTTCTGGAAATGTGGAAAAGAAGAGGCACCCAGCTGGCGATCTGGTGAGGACCAGAGAACGTGAAAGTTTCCGCATTAGCAGGAAAGGAAGACGGGTAAATTACCTAAATCCCGTCGGACTGCAGGTGGTCCGGAGAAAAAGAGCAACTGCGCGCGCTTCTGCAATAACCTTTCTCTTTCTTCCTCTACCCCCACTCCCGCCCGCCGTCCAGTTGCGCTTGGCCCTCGAGCGTGTCCCCCTCTGTGTCCACACACCTATACTATTTCAAGAGGCACAATGTGTTTTCGTCCCCACTCCTGTTGCTGGTACTTTGTCTCACTCAGTCTCGCTGCGAACCGTCATTTATCTTCGTCACCGTCTTCGGCCAATAGCGATTGCTGTCTGTGAAGAAGAACGTCAGCGGACTGCGACAGGAGTGGGGATGTAAACACGCTGTGCCTTCCTCTCGTGGCAGAATGGTACTTGGTTCGAGCGATGTAGCAGAGTCGTTAAATCAGTCGAGCGACGGAATACAAATATCGCGACCTACGGAACAGCATCTCTAATAGACGGCTAATTTCCTACTGTTTGCATCGGGATTAACAAAATACGGTTGTGTAGAATAATAACGAGATATATGTGAGCATTGTACGAGGGATAAATATATGCATAGTATTGAGTACTGTAGAATATTGAAAGTTGTGAATAGGTTATAAATATAAATATCAGTAGTACGAGTCGTAAGCCAAAGCGATGAAGTCTACTTTTTGAAGTGCTTCAAATTTTTACGCCAAAGTACGCAATTGAAGATTAACTTTCTATATTTAGAATAAATTTCTATTTCTTTTTTTTCTTTCTACTTGGTTGGACAAATTAATGAGTAACTAATACACATATATGTATATGAATCATTTATGGGTCGAAGCAACTAACCTCACTTTTTGAATTTTTTTGATTTCAGTGCCACAACATTTTATTGATGCTTCGCTTCTTAGATTTGAAGTAAATTTTTACTTCTTGTTTTGAGGAATTCATTGATTGAGCAAATGAAAGGTTCATATACTGGGTAAGTCACGAGAAATTAATGTATTTCTGTTATTTATGATCGTATCAAAAACTTTTTCGAGGAAAAGTTTTACTATTTGAAGAAATGTATATAGTGATAGGGAAAACAAATTTTCAAGGTCATTTCTGCACACACGATCACCAAATCATAGTTTTCTTTTAAATACTGTAGTTTTTATTACAATATACTGTAGCCAATGTCAATACTAACACATCAATCTAGTTGATGAGTTACCATATTATGACCTTGAAGTGATCTTGAGCTAAGAAATTCAGATTAAAATCAATCTAAATATTCAAAATGATGTAAGGTACAGTTAGTTGAATAATATTTCTTTCCAAATTGCAGAGTGTAAAAATTACTTAAGTGTAGGATAATTCTTATATTTCCAGATAAAATATACATTTTATTTCAGCAACAAACGTAACATCTCTATCTCTGGATTTGTCAATGTCGGATATTTTTGCTAAAATTTCAATGCACCTGTTGCGTCAGCCATTATGAACTGTCAAACTTCGCATATTGCAATCGTTGCGTCAGTGATCCTCAAGAAGCTAAAATATTTTTAAAAAATGAATTCTAGTTGTCAATCAGCACCATACGATATTTATTTATTTCTGTTTTAGTACAACACTGGAACTACCAAACCCATCAAAATGACAGAATCTTGATTTTCTATTTTTGGAATTAGTATTGCAAGAGTACCCTCTTAAAACAGGTTAAGCATAATTTCATTTTTTAGACAAAGTTACAATACTAAAAGGTATCCCAAAATTCACGCAAGATTCGAATTTCGCGTCATTTGCGTAGTAAAGTGTTGTCAATGAAGAGAAAAAAGCAGTGTGATAGCTGACAGTTTAGGGTTATTAAAAATGGAGCGTTATACAAAAGAACAACGTGTCTTCATTGTTGAGTAACATTTACAATTCTGTAAACCTGTGTTTTCTATCAAAATTACTTCCTGTGTGACTTTTGGGACCTAACCGAATCTAACCCAATATTATTCGATGAGAACTCATACCATGTTAGTTTTGTATTACAAATTGGTAGACCGTATCACTGATAGACCTACACTCTGTTCACAACTAGGAATCACGATCCAGTAAATCCATAGGTGTCGGGACCACGGGAAAACGAGCTGTAGGAATTAAATTAACGACCCTCGTGACATCTGTGGTGAGGGAAGGTGAGGATAAAAAGTACAGGCGGTTTTTCACGCTGAGAAAAGGGTAAAGAAGAATCGCTCCAGTTTCCTTGGTTCGGCCGCTTTTGAAATAACACCGCGACCCTGAGCTTCCTTTCATGAAAAGAAACACACGCTTGGCATTCATGCCCCGGCTTTATCTTCGCTTCGTCTACCATTTGCTCCTCTTTTTGCCCACTTTTTACCTTTCCGTTTTCACCCAACTGCCCTTTTTCGCCTATTTTTAACCCCAATTTCGGCCTGCGGCATGCTCCCGGCTAAAAGAACGTTTGAAAAGAGACGCCCAGGCTGTGGAAATGTCAGGAGGCACGCTTGCACGTATTAATTCCCTCTTTTCGAATTTTATACTGCCAACTACCTTGCAAATTCTTCCCCAGCTCCCCGAGATTCCGTTTTGTCACATTTGACCGCGTTTGTTCGGGTTTGATGTCGTTTGAAGGTAGGATGCTATTGATCCTTGAGTGTGCTCATGTTGGAGGGTGTTCTCACATTATGTGACGATGTAGTTTTGTTGGACATAGTTTAGTAAGTACATTTGCTCGTATTTGGTTTGACAGCGTTTGGAAATTTTTGGGACCGTTTTGATAACTATTTTTGAGAATATGACGAATCCATATTTATTTATGGCATGTTACATAGGTGGTACATGTGGATACACATGAGAGATTGATATGTAAATGATGATATTATGACAGATAGGAATATTTTTTTCAAAACTATAATACCAAAATTATTACAATTAATTAAACTTTTGGTCAAGTAAATCATTAATTATTACAAATAATTGATCATTAAATTCAAAGAATTTGCTATAATTTATTATACGTGCTAACTTAGAACGATGGAGAAACGAATAATTATATATGACAAATTTTAAGTATCTTTTATATTAATTAAATTTGAATGATATAAGGGACACTGAAAATTTATGTTATAAATCATTCCAATTTAATTAATAGAAGGGATACGTACAATTTGTGTCATAAATAATTATTCGTTTCCCATACTTCGTCGCAAGTTAGCACATAGTAAATTACAGTAAACTCTGAACGCTCGTAATACGCCCATCGATGACAGACGAAACACATGTTTCATGATAAACGCTCAAGTAACCATGGTCATTAATCAATTCCCTGCAATTAAATTCCACTTTCCTTCAATCGTCCGTTTAATCACGCGCGTGCACGGTTGCCTCTTTTAATTATACCAGCAAGCGGCTGCATACCCGGAAACCCGCCAAACTTCGATAATTAAATCGGCTGAGGCGGCACGATGTAGCGATCATACTTTTCACCTGTTCTGTCCGCAATGTTACTCGACAAACAGCTCTCTGTGACGAGACAAGCATCTCTCGAAAGGAATTTACACGTTGAATTAAGTACAATCACTTTGTACTTTCACTTTACAATTTTGATAAATTATTTCATTTCTAACATTTGTCGCCACTGGTTATACGGCCCTGTATAGACGAAGGAAACGTGATATTATTATTATTATTTAATTTCCAGCCCTTCTTTTGATATTATTTTACATCATTTCTCTTGAAACTAAAGCTTAAAAAAAATATTCTACAGAAAAAAATCTTGTATTTTATTTCCGCTATTTCGGTGCTAGAATTAAAAATAATTCTTTTCCTTCAAAGTTTTGTAATGCTTGAAAAATACATACAGTTTCAAGTAAAGCAATCTCGTTGGCAGGCACGGTTCAGGACCCACCACATCTACAATGTATTAACGAGGGAGGCGTTCCGGGAACTGCCAATGTTTTGTTTTCGGTCGTTCATCCGTTAGTCAGAGTGAGAAACAATAAGACGAAATGAAATAGAAAGATTCAGCAGTTGCCTGGCGACGTGTCACGCGATCAGTCCAGAATCATAATAAACGTATAACGCGAAGGTCCGCTCTGCCGAGGCGATTCCGGGAAGTGGTGGGGATGGCTGAACGGCCAGTATTGAGGTCAGAAATGCACCTACTATAGATAGACGCAATATCGTACCCTTTTATAACCTCAAATATAAAATTCATCGTTCATTTTTTATTTCCCTCTTTTTTCAATTAAATTCGGTACTATAGGATTCATTGACCGACTAACATCTTTGAACAGGCTGAAAAATCGATATTAAACGATATTTCACCAGCGATTGCAAAACGCTTTTCAACCATGCCTGAAAACAAGGTAACCAAGCAATTAACGAAATCGAATCAACCATTGTGGAAACAAGGAAGAACACCAACGAAGCACCATAACGAATGACGTTCTGCATTCGGAACGTACCGTGAATATTCAACAAGGACGAAATCTGTTCAGCCAATTACATACCATTGTTATTCTTGCCCCACCATGTTACGGCACTGTTCCGCCAAACTTGCCTACCGGCGTGGACGAATAAAAATAGTTAATCCAATCGTGTCTTTGTGCTTCGAGGAACTTCTTCCAAAATTAGACTCCGCTTCTTATTACAAAGTAGGTGTATGTATATATATAGAAGGTAGACAAGATGGCTGCTTTCAGACATTTTACTTTGCAGTTATTAGTAGACAGTATGCACTATATATAGGCGTCCCAAAATTTATGCAAGATTTGAATTTTGCGCCATTTGTGCGGTAAAGTGTTGCCAACGGAAAAAGAAGACAGAGTGACAGCTAACAGCTCAGGGCTATTAAAAATGGAGCGTTGCATGAAAGAACAATGTGCCTTTATTGTTGAGCAATATTTTACAATTTTTAATTAAAATGTGTCTTCTATCAAAATTACTTGCGTGAATTTTGGGACCCCTATATATAGTGCACGCTATCTAGTAATAACTGCAAAGTAAAATGTCTGAAAGTAGCCATCTTGTCTATCCTCTATATATATATGTATACACACCTACTTTCTAGGTGAATATTCCACGTCAATTTTCTCGGAAACGAAGCTCCGAATGAAAAAAATTTATTCTCTATTTTTGATTCGTTTCTGCATGTAGAATCACTCCCCTTCCCGGTTGTACTATCGTTGCTGGAACACCCTGTATATTCATCTTTCCATCACCTCTATGTAGTTCAGATTCAAAGTATCTTCCCTGAAGCGTGTTAAATTATTCCTCTCTTAGAACACTGATCGAAATTGTCTGAAACCTAGCCGCAAACTTGTCAATTCCATAGCCGTGCAACGGTAACTCGACTCGAACTCGCTCTGAGTAGCCGGTTGCGTTTGAGACGGTTCATTAACGTGAGTTTACGCGCTAACTTCCACGGCATCTTCGCCATGCATGGGTATTAGCTTCTTGATAAACCAATCTCCAAAACCTGGCCAATCGAACAGACGAAAGTAATTGAATTAAAATGCCGGTTGGCTCGTGCTCGTCATAAAGATCCGCGTGAACCACCAGCCCCTTGACGACGCTGGCTCGGAGATAGGGGTCCGTTTATCTCGGCCGTTCGAGGAGGAATGATTTATCCGACGGTACCTTATTCCAGAGGACACGTTTTATGGCGTCGCGGGGCACCATCGAAGGAGCTTTTCTAGAGGGAGTCACTCGCGCAAATACCCCACCAGCCATCGATTTTGGTAGATAGATCTAGGCTCGTAGCGACAAATGTGTCGTGCGCTGGAAATGGGGTTCCCTAGGGAAGTCTAGTGGTAAATTTACCAGGTGAGTTTAAGGTTATGGGGATTGTAATTGTAAAATTACTACGATATCTTTGCATATAACTGAACTTATCCTTTCGACATAGGTCAAACAGGTTTTCTTCTTGACTTTACACATCCTTGATAGAGATGATTAAACGGTGATACAGTTAGGAGGAAGAGTCTCAGTCGTTCCCGGTTTTCAGAGACTCGGTTGCCAAGGCTGAGTGACTTTGGTCTATTGGACTACGTGAGGATCATTACCGGGAGTGAGAACGATATCTCAACGAAACGAGACGTGGGCAGGGGGACAAGATAATGGGTTGAGGAGGATAAATAGACGAATTGGAGAGGTAGAGTTACAGTGTTAGCTGGTTACACTGCAGCTGATGAAAATCAAACAGGTTACAGATTCGCTAAGAAGCTGAAACTCGGGAAGCTGTATAGTAGTATAGTAGTACAACATTAGGCCAAATTGTATCGTGGCTTGAAATTTTCCAGCTTAGCTGACAAGCTACCTGATAAGTAGACAAGGTGTTAAAGAATCTTATAATCTGTGCTATTTTTCATTTTTAACATGTATACTTTTTATTCCGAATCTAGGGATCCCTAGCTAGAATCTTACTGCAACAGATTCCTCGTGCAATGGACTTAGAAATTCCTATTTCTCTTTTTCTTGCGGGTTCTCATAGCAACGAATAACATTTTTATTTTATTTTTTAAATTATCTGTTTCTACTAACTTATCCAAGTATTTTGATATTATGACACTGTTAAAATCCATCGAATAATGCAGAACAAATTTCGATCGATTTCTAAGCGGAGAAAAAATATTTTCAACGTTGTGTGAAATAGAATTCGATGAAATAAAAATTTCATCAAAGACGGGATACGTCGTACGAGCAATCTAATCGCATCTGCAACTTTTAATCGAATACGGTCGCGGCGTAGGGGGCACCACCGTCGGCCGACTTCGATTTCTAATTGAGTTTTTTATCGAGTCGATGCACTCGACTCGATATCTTTCCTTAATCGCGTCGACGCATCTACGTTTGGGTACCGAGACGGAAATAACTCGATAGCCGTTCACAGGCTTTTGTCATCTGCATAATTCCAATTCGATTGACATTACGGTACATCCAGAATGGCTCGTTTTAAATTCAATCTTCCATGGATTCCTATATCCCATGAAATAATTATACTAATCGGTGTCCCAAAATTCACGCAACAAGTAATTCTGATAGAAAACACAAATTCTTAATTACAAATTATAAACAATGTTGAACAACAAAGACACGATGCTCTTTTGTATAACGCTCCATTTTTAATAACCCTGAACTGTCGACTATCACGCTATCTTTTACTCTTCGTTAGTAGCACTGTACCACACACATGGTGCAAAATTCGAGTCTTGCGTGAATTTTGGGTCACCCTATTGGGAGATGAGGAATACAGACGTGTCTTGAAAACTGATCAACTTTTTGACACTTAAACTGGCCCTAATTCTGAAGAATGATTTTCTTCAACTTTTCCAGGAAATCTCGAGTATCTTTTCCTTCATTGAACACAAGTGAGATACTCGTGATACGGAATACCGATATCTCACGATAGACGTGCTTAGACAAGCTTGTTTGTGTATCTTAGGTAGATAAGCCTGGAGGGTTGGCTCATGGAGTCAGTCCCAAGAAGCAATACTTGGGAATAGCAGCCAGCTAATCTTCAAAGACAAAAACTTTGCCAATTTCTGAGATACTATAATAAATACATCATTTGATATATATAATAGAAGTATCTGTTTGAAAATGAATTGGCCACCACTAGTCATATTTTCGACAATTTCTCAAATTTCCTTTGAAAATGAGACATTTACTCTTTGATCTAAATTATTCTTACTTTTCCATCTTCAAATTCCATTATTTTCGATATTCCATAACCATGTACCAAGGAAACAAATTTTGAATGGCTTACAGTCAGTTACTTCTACATAATTTAACCTCCAAATTATTACTAGGAATTATTACTACTTATCATCCACGAAGATAAGAAAGAGATTAAAAAACAGAAATACTAGTCCACGTGTATATAAATTTTCAGTGAAAAAAATTGCATCCCTGAAAAATGCATAGGTCTCACCTCAGTGTGGTATCCAGCGTACAAAATGGAAGTCGATCGACCGATCGATCGTCCGTATAGGGTGCGCGACAGATGCGAACGGAACTCTTGCGACGCGTAAACTCACGCACCTATATCACTTTCACTAGGCAGCTCGTATTCCGTGGACGGCGGGTAGTTCTCGCGGCCACCGCTGCAAACAGTGTCGCCTCGTTAGCGAGCTCGACGTTTTCTCTAACGGGATACGCGCCGCCCGAGACGAGCGGAAACGGGTTGGGAAGGTATGCAGGGGACACGGAGGCGCTGAATATTTATAGGGTCTTTTCTCGCGCAAACAACGTGACCGGGCGCAATCACCGCGAAATTATTTCGCCGTTTCGCGATCCTGCATTTGCATCGACGGTGCACGCCATCGTTTTGCACTGACAAACGAGATTTCGATCTTTTCCTAGGTGTTCGGGGGTGGTATTAGCCGAACGTTGGAGTGGGCGTGCGAAGATGAGATACTTATCCACGCATCCTTTGTGTCAAGGGAGTCTTAAGTAAACGTTTTTGTAATTTATAAAGATATTTTTTTGGAGTTTCTTAATTTATTATATTTGAAAATATAATAAAAATATTGTGAAATAATGATTAAAATAAATATAAAAACATTTGTGAATGACTTTTAATCTTTGGTGCAATTTTGTTGTAAATTTTGGAGTTATGAATACATTTTTAAAAGGACGTGTACTGTAAATAAGTATATACAGTATGTCTGTCCTATTTTTAGAAAAGAATATTAGTGACTCTGAAAGTGACTTTTTATACTTTTATAAATACTGTACATACATATATTCATAGAAGCCAAATGAGAAACATATTTTTATAACAACGTCTATAGACTGGAATTATTTTTAAAAACAGTAGTGAACTATAGTATTCAAATTCAGTACCAAAAATTAAAATTTGAATATTCAAGTCGAATATAGCACTCACACTTGGGTATACACGTAAGTGCAAGAAAACAGAAGAAAAGACAAGACCCAACAAAGAGTCGTCTAGTGACTTTCCTAAAAATAATTCAATGGCACTAGAGCAGAAGAGTCTCGCATGAACGGTACACACAAATATCCTGTAAATAAAGTACAGGGCACTTATGGAACGCTTGGATGCTCGAGAAGCATTTTGGACAGCGCCGTCTCTCACGGCCAAGCACCAGATGTCTCTAGCTCTCGCTGCATTATTCACACCGAGCTCCGAGGCTCTTCCACGACCATGAACCACTCGAAGGTCACAGCGCATGGTTTCGTATAATCTGCATTTCTTACACGCCTACATAACCCTACCATCGAAATAAATTCACCTTTCCACTAAATCCACGAACATATCCCGACGTAACAAAAAATTCGAAGAAAATTCCCTAGGAAATTCTAGGAGAAACGCTCTCAACGACCCGTTTAGAACACCAACTAAGAAATGCCGAGGGTAGGAGTCCAGTTACGCAAATTTAACGTCGTATTTGGCAATTTCGAGGAGGGTATAACGCGATAAGCATCTCTGTGGTAAAACGGATACGTTCACCTAGGGAATTTCGTGCGAAGAAATTGTTCCAGAATCGTGGTACGAACGAGGCCCGCGGACATAACAGTACCGCAACGTACAAGACGTAAATGCCAAGAGGCGAGTCCCAGCAGGCGCTGCATTCTACCCACCATTTTTCCCCGCGCATGCGTATTTAACCTCCGACACTGAGATCTTCCACGAATCCTCGATTCGTTTTCGATGAAGCTCAACGATTCGACGTGTTCGTTGCGTATAATTTCCACGAGGCATTTATAACTCTACGTGTAAAATTAGTAAGTATCTTAACTCTTCGCACTCTGAATTATTTCAATTAAATTAATTTAACAAATTTCAATTATCTTTCAATTTTCTTCCTAATAACTCCCTACCATTTTAAGTATTTTGTTTGAAATTTACTTCACAGTACAGTTCCTCGACTGATACTTATTTTGACAAATTTTGTTTATTGATTATATTAAATATAGCTCTCAAACATTGTTGTAATTTATATTTTGAATTTAAGTAATTCGAATAATTACTTATTTTCTGTTTTCTTGTTCAGGAAATAAAGAATCAAGAAAAATAACAAAGGAGTGTAAAGGGTTAATATACAGGGTGCATGAAAAAGAGGTATAAAAGAGAATTTAGAAATGTGTTATGGATTAAATGAAGTTATTAAGTTAATCTTCCCAGGGGATTTTGGGACCAATGGAAGTTAGGTATTTGTAGGTTAGTTATTCTTAATAGATGCAATCTTCGAACTTCGTTTTCTTAAAGATTGGATTACTTTTCTCACAGAAATTGGAATTAAGTTGAATTCAAACAAGTCTATAGTCTATTCAACGAGATCAGAAATATCAGGTTAGAATCAGGACAGGACTGGCTCATTAATTTTCAGGCCCTTACATATCTCTTTTACCACTCCAAAAAGATATAAAAAAAATTGACCAAAATATCGCATCAACTCTCACTAATATCTCAAACAATACCGCAGATAATGATACTAACATAACCTCAATTCTGAACTTCACACTCACCATTATGAACAAACCCACTGACAGCCAACAGCCAAAGTTACTTGAAGACTCATAACTAATGAATTAGTGAACCTAACCAAAGCAGTAACTTCGTGGATTCCTGGAAGTAGGGGAAGAAGATGAAGACGAAGATCTCTAATAACCTCAAAGACAGAAAGCTTTCGACCGATCTAGACAAGTGCGAGTGCTCGTCTGTAGGTAATCGTAGTAATTATAATGAAAATCGCTTTGTCGTCCAGGCTGCCGGGGGCCACAGATAGTTGCACAATGCTCCGCCATTAATCAGAGTGCTCTCGGCCCTCTGGCGGGAGCCACGCGCGGCAGCAATTTCATTTATTCCGACGCGAGCGCATTGTTCGCGCAACAAAGATGGCGGCGACGAGTTGGAACGAGAGCGACGACACGCTGCAAAGTGGAAAGAGTTAAACACGAGTCACGAAGCTAAAGCGCAATTTTTCCTGCCACATATTCCATTCCCAATGGAGGTCTCGTTCGAGGCTGATATGTTTCGCGCTCGGTCTCATCGATGCTCGGCATCTTTTAATCAGATTTATGTGGTGATACATTTTGTTCAAATAGAATTTATCAGTTTGGCTATTTTTGGGGATATTTTGGAACATCTTGGTTAGTTTTGTTTATGGACTTAAGACGCTTTTGTATTAATGGATGTTTACGTACTTTAATTCATATTCTTTTTTTTTAGTGAATAAGAAATTGGACAATAATTATAATATAATAATTAACGATAATATAATACTTAATACGTAGAATGTGTCACGT